ATGCAGGCGCGCTGAAGTGCAATATCGCGTGACCGCCGCGAACTTCCCACGGGGGCCTCGATATGTAAATTCCCCCTGGCCCCGCCCTCCTCCTCCTCCTCCTCTCCTAATCTCGGGAATTAATCCGACCGTTATTTATTTCATCCTGTCTTAAAAGGCCGTTCGGTCATTCCCGCCGTTGTCGTCGCGCCAACGAACGGCTCGGCGCGTTAAGTAACGTGAATTCATTCCGACCACAACAGAACCTGACCCGAACATACAGAATCCGCAATACATTAAAGCCACACTTCATGATTTTAGATATTGTCCGAGTGCAAAAACGTTTTTATTTCATGCCAGCCAGGCGATGAAAACCCTCGGGATTTCGTACACTTGCGCGAGTTTCACGTTCGATTTGAGTCTTATATCGCGCCAGGTTATTGTATTGGACTCCAAGGTATTGAACTCATCGAGCCTACATCGTCATACATGTAGAGCTTGGCAGAGAGAGATAGATGATCCTCCATCTACCTCTCTCACTGCCAGGCTTCACGTACGCCGATGACGTCACTATATTAAATCTTGTTAAATCTTTCTGCCCTGCTTTTGTAGCTTCTTTGACTCTGAACGACGACTTGAGGTTGATTGCAGACTGGGCTCTCTTCCAAATGCTATGCTTGAACCCACCCTCTTTCCTTATTGCTCCCCGCTTTTACTGCCGAAAATACTCACTACTTTCTTTGCACTTTATATTACTCTTGTTTGCATTCCTCTATCTTTCTATGTAGTATAGTTGCAATGAAATATTATTATTATTATTACTAAATTCTACCGCAGTGTCGATCTCTGTTGGAGAACACATTGGTTCACGTTTTGTATCGGACCGGCTGTTGAATCGGAAGCATTCGGCGTATAAAACGAAAGATCGCGAAAAATATCGGGAACACGATCCTGCGTAATTGCATTCGCACGACAAGTCTACATACCGCGATTGTCCGGATGACTTGTATAGCTGCTTTTTACGGCGGGGTACTCACCTGAAACAGAAGAAGACAAAATATTAGATAATTATTATAACTAATTAATATAACTAATATTAGTAATTACTGAACGACGAGACATTATGTAATGTCGCACGGTAGCGAAGTTCTCTGTGCTTTGGCGCAATGCGGCTAAAGATATTCCTGAATAGTTATAGTAGCCTCCGAATGAGATATTACACTTCTCAATAAAAAGAAGTGTGTCCTCCGTAAAAAGGAGTACAAAAAGAAAACGTACATAATAATAGTAATAGCGTTCCTTCCTAAGATTGCCGCCGGTGTAATAATAACTTTCCGAGACATTTTACCGATATTTTCTTAAAGGATATGATGAGATATTAAAATATTGGAATCCGGACGAGACCCGGTTTTAGCTCGAAAGTAAAATAAAATAAGCATTTCATAATACATATAATAAGTATGCTGTATTTTATATTTGCTTCTACCTCCAGGGGATGTTATTGATTGTTCTAGTTACAAAGTACTGATATACATCGATGTATTGATGTATAATCTACGAATGTTGACAATAAGCGATCCGTGACGGGAGCTATTGAGCCTCAACCGAGGTAAACTGATGCTGCGAGCGCACACAGCGTATAATCTCCTGCCAAATTTTGTTACCATCCGTTAAATATTGATTCGGGCGAAATGTCACGCGTCAATATTTTCCGATCCCCATTCCTCTGTTAGGCAGCCGTTCAATATTATCGAATACTAATACTTGCATCAGTTTAGTAAAGACGTTGCGTATTAATAAGAAATTTATTTCACTTTATTTATCTTTTCTCACAATTTATTTATCTTTTTATGTTATTATGAATTAAGATATACACATATTATATCCTTAAGATACATAATATTTCTTTATAATTCAATTTTACATGTAACTAAGTGCAACAAAGTTTTATTAACAAAATTTAATTATTATTACGCTGCCATCCGCGTGGCGACGTTAATGAGAAGTAAGCTCCAGTCGTTTGAGAAAATGAAAGTCGGAAATGAAGTCTCTCTGCCGTCTAGTTACGAGAATTAGGGCCCGCCGTTGAAAGGGGAGATTTTCCCAGTGTCTATATATCGCCGTGTGCGCGAATTAACGAAAACAGCAACGGACGGAAGGCAGACCCCCGGCGTAAACGCAAACGACGAGCCAATTAAATGGGGTGTGGATTGATTTATCCTGTAATTAACAATCACGGAACCCCGCCCGCGGCACGTTTCCCGCCCTCGCGGTGTTTCCTGCGCTCGCACGGACTGGTTAATGGACTCGCGAGAGAGCGAGGATGCGCGCGAGAATTCGCGATCGTCTCTTTTCGTCGAATCGGCGACGGACAGGAAAATTTTAAAGAGTCCCCAAAGAAGTCGTATCCCCTTATCTCCGAGCTCGATCGATCAACTATCTTATCGACGCGTGCCGTCACGCGTCTTCAAAGATGTGTCACGTTCCTTCGTCGAACGCGTTTTACGTGCGAGTCGTTTCCGAGACGCGCGTGACGACACTCCAATTGCGCCGCGTCTCGCCGTTCCCGATCAGACAACAATCGGCACGCCGAGCCCGGAACTTCGCAGGCATCGTAATTTTGCGACGGCCCGTCCTCTCCCTCCTCCGGCCCTCTCCCGTCCGTCCCTTCAAGAACGCGTCTCGCGGCGTACTTTTCAGCGCGTGACATCAACGGATTCTATTAGTCACGGAGCAGGCGTGCGCGGTAATTGTCTGGGAGATCCGCTGTCGAGGAAACGATCGTTCCCAGAACGGCTATGAAGTGGCGGCGGCGGCGGCGGTGATTGCAGCCCGACGTCGCTTCCTAAGCAGCGCCGGCATTTAATGTGCGCTTAACGAGAAACGCGTCGCGGAGATTCTTATCGGGACATCGCCGCCTGCGCGCGGCGTAAGACCGCGCGAGTTTCTCCACACGCTCCTCGTATAAGAAAGCCCGCCCGCATTTATTTTATGCATCCCCGTCGCGTGTGTTTCCGTTGACGAGAAAATTCGCTCGCGTATGCGCGACGCGTATATAGGTACACTCGACCGTATATACGATCTCTAACCTATGCGATCTCTTCGGCGTTCTCAGCGAAAATCCAGAAATTTCGAACGGCTCTTTACGACTCATTGGAATAATGGAAATGCAATATGTTAAGTATATCTTCGTGCTGAAATAATTTTAACCTGATCAGGGTTGGCACAGAAAAATCCAGTTTACAAAAACCCAGTGGGTTTTTGTACAAAAACTCAAATACAAAAACCCAAGTACAAATTACAAAAACCCAGATACATGTAATATATATATATATACACACACACACATATATATATATATAT